TGGTGAGGTTGGCCCAGGATCAGGCAGTGTTTTGTTCTGCTGTGCATAAGGTCGCTATGGGTTGGTACCAACTCAATGGCACCTAACAAAAACAACATGGCTAATGCAAGACTCTTGATGTGGTGCTGTAAAGTCATTTGAACCACAGGTCAGTGGTTCAACCTCACCAGATGCTCTTGTAAACCCTATACAGGGTTGCTATGGGTCAGAACCGACTCAACAGCACTTAACAACACCAACAATATGGCTAATGCTGGATCTGTCATCAAACACCACAAACACTTTATGAAAATTCAGATATATTAGCTACTTTATTACTTGGTTATTGGTTTGTGCCTAATTTTACAATTAACCTCAATAACACCTTTATATGGGTCATATGGGTAAAGTTATTGCACTACTCAGAGCTCTCAGATATCATGCTTTAATTGAATTTAACAGCCTCAAGAAAATGATGCAGAATAGGTTATGCATAATCATACTGGTAACAAAGGATCAGTAAGAAGTATACTGTTCTTGCTTAGAATGGCTACTACTATAAGGAGCTCTGGTAGTGTAGTGGTTACGAATTAGGCTGCCAACCTCAAGGTTGTCAATTTGAAACTACCAGCTGTTCCATGGCAGAAAGATGAGACTTTCTGCTCCTGTAAAGATTTACAGCCTTAGAAACCCTGTACAGGGTCGCTATGAGTTGGAAACAACTCCACAGCACATAACAACAACAACATGTCCAAGACTTCCAAGATTCATTGAAGCTTAAGAAAATTCATTGCAATGCTCATAAAGGAAAATTAATATTTTAACTAAGTTTATACTCCTATAAATTTGGCACTGTTGTCTATTTTTGATAATTGAAACAATTTCAAACTGGCTTATAAAAGCAAATTAAATTATCTCAACTATCACCAATAGCAGAAATCGTGCAATTCATTCCCTTTAAGGATTTCTTATGTGGGGGATCAAAGTACTCCATGTTCTTATGTGGGAAATCAAAGTACTCCATATAAACTAACCATAACAATGGGCCCTATGCATGGACATTACCTTGATAACTTAGGTATAAACGGTCGATCAATGTACTTGTGACTATTTGGGAGTCCCTCTAGAAATTCTCTCTTATAATGAAAGTCTTCATTGGACTGATAATTTGAAAATCTTAGAAAGAAACATAAATATTGAAGAGATTAATGGTGTTGTTGTTAAGTGTCATCAAGTTGATTCTGACTCATAGTGATGCTATATTGGGTTTCCAAGGAGTGGCTGGTGAACTTGAACCACTGACCTTGTGGTTCAAACCAATATTGCAGTTCAGCACACTAGCTGCAGTGCCACAGGGATTACTAAACAGGAATTCTTTAAAAGAAAATCTTGGCCTTGGTTACTTCTTTTAATGAGACTTCCTCTCTTGGTATGGAGTCATTCAAAATATGTTTGCCAGTATGGAAGATATAACTGATGACATTGTCAACTCATTAAAAGCCCAGAAAAAAAGTCCTTAAATTTCCATGCAAAAGTATTTTTGAACAACAGAAATATCTTAGATTTCCTATTACAAAAGTAAAATGGAGTGTGTGCTATACCTTCTGTTGTACTTGAGTAAATATCTCAAGTAAAGTAGAAAAGAACATCCAACAGATTCATCAGAATGCTGACTTCGTATTCTTACCCAACTAAAGTTTGTTCCCCATCAAATTAGATGAATAGGATTCATGGATCCTTATGGCTATTGTCATTATAATTGAAATAATTAAATGCTGTTTTAAAATTACTGCTAACACCTTAAGTTAAAAAACCAACATATTGGCAATGGGTGACTTCAAGCTCACCAGCTGCTCCTCAGAAACCCTATACAGTGTTGCAACTGACTCAAGGGTCATTAACAACAACAATTCTAGCAATGGACTTGAGATTCTGCTCTAAATGCTTCTTAATTACACAATAACCAAGTAGATTTTCTAATGTGGTCTTACTCCATATTAACCTTTCCCAAAAAGATCACTAAATTGAGTCATGATAAATCGAGTCATGATGATGACAGTCTGTCTAGCCATTCTGAAAAACTAAACAAAGCCAAAGAGTATCCTGGATCTTGAAGACTTACACTAAGACAAGTGGATATCCAAGAGGTAACTGAGGAGGAGAAATCCATGCAGAAGAAAACATACTATGCTAACTGTACATGATCAACAAACTTCATGAAAATTCTTGATAAAAAGGAGGAAAAATGTATGAGTCTAAAATCTGAGGTTCTTGGTGTGTGTTAATAGAGTATCCTGAATGTAGAGTCTTCACTCCATCGAAAACCCCTGACATGAATCTAGAATGCACATTGAATTTTAAAGTTGCCTTTTCTAACAACAACTTCTCTAACTTTTGTACTGTCCTATGCTGGTGTGGCACTGTGGGCTAATGCGTCAGACAGCAAAGTCATTTGAATCACAAGGTCAGTGGTTCAAGGTCATCAACTGCTCCATGGAAACCCTATACAGGGTCGCTATGGGTCGGAATCTACTCAACAGCACTTAACAACAACAACAATGTATATAAGTTAAATAAAATATTCTATCTGTGGTCTGGCAGAGGCAGGATGTCATATCCACTATGGTCAAACAGATGTTGGATGCGCTAGCCTATGACTGAAGGGCCTTGACACACAGCATTATTGATAAATCTTCTTTACAATGGACCCCTAGAAAAAAGACATGCTTGAAAAAGTAGCGTTAATAACAGATTCCCAGAAAAATAAATCCTACCATTGTTCTGTGACTCTCTTATAATTAACTAAAAAGCACACATACTTGCAATTATGTGCCCTTAAGCAATCATGTAATACCACATATATATGTATATATACACCAGTCCAGTCTAAAATGCTCTCAGATATCCCACATTCAAATTTCCTGATTATCTGATTATCTTTTAGCCAAATACGATTTAACTTTAGTTCCTCATTCAATTATTCAAGAAGGTTTGTTCTTTATTGTATATTGAAGCTGTCATAACATTATGTCAATTGGAGATTTTCCCAGTCCAAACCATCTCTGGACTTGTCCAATTAACCTCGTAATTTTATTTTTATAAAGTGTATATATTCACTCTATGAAGTTCCTAGGGAATCATCACCCTGTATTTTTGGTATTTTTATGCAAGAAAGCTAAGACCCTGAACAAGAGATCAGATAGTACATTGCAAGTTACAAAGCTATAACCAATGGCACCTAAATCCTGCAGTTAGGAAGAAACATGAAAAATACATGTACTAATTATATTCTCTCTGGAAAAGGGAAAAAAATCTGTTTTAAAAGAAAGATGATTCTAAATCATACATATGATCACATTTTTAGATTCTATGATATTTTCTACAATGTACTTTAAAATACTTCTACAGAAAAATACTTTTACATAGATAGTGTGATATGTGCATACTAATCTTAATAGATACTACATAGACATTTATCAATCTATGAGATATCCTCACCAGAAATACATACTCCACGGGTAATTTTTTTTTAACATCTTAAAGACTTCAAAGAGTTTGCTCTATAGACCAGTAATTCCAGTAGTTCTGCCCCCTTAAGAAAGGAGGGCTAATTAACAAGTGTTTAGAAATGAATTTTCATTGGTAAAGGAATATTATTCAAGATTTATGGAATGGCTAGAAATGTGTTACAGGTACTTTGGTGGTTGTTATGTGCCGTGGAGTCAGACCGACTCATAGAGACCCTGTACAGGGTTTCCAAGGCAGTAAATCTTTACGGGAACCAATAGCCTCATCTTTTGCCTGCGGAACAGCTTGGTAGTTTCAAACTGCTGACCTTTAGGTGCGCAGCCTGATTCATAACCACTATACTACCAGAGCTCCTTACAGGTACTTTAGTAATCATATAAACTGGGTATACAAATCTAGCATGAAGGGAGCCCGGAATCTAAGATCGCAAAGAAGTCCTATGCCTTGGCCCTTATCAAAGATTTTGTTGTTAGACTCTGATTAGAAAGTTAGATGGATCCAATGTGGGGAAAAAAAAAAAAAAAAAAAAAAAAAGCAGACATCATACTTTGAATTTTAAGTGTTTTTCCTTATCTACAAAACCAAAAAACTAACAGTAAAAGCCAGAGTCCAAAACTATAAGAGTTAAACTTTTTCCCTAGCAGTTCACACCAACACCAGAGCTCTTCAGAAATCATACAGGGTTACTATGAGTTGGAACCGACTCAATGGCACTTAACAACCACCACAACAACAAATTAATAAGGAAACTGGTACTCAGTTTATCACAGTGAACACATCTTTGTAAACCCTTTTGTGACAAAGACATTTTTTAAACATAAACTAGCTTAGATTTTATCTAATAAAAAAATGCAAATTTACTAAATTTCCTGAAAGACAAAGTATTTTTAAAACCTCTGAACTACATTTAAATATTTGTGCAAGTGTGGGAAAGGGGGCATTCAAGCCAGACATCTTATATAACCTGATAGCTTGTCTTAGTGAGGCACCAGGCCGTATTCAATCACCTAATAAACATAAGTAATGGTTGATTTTCTATTTTCCTCACCACAGTCAGTCGTATTTTCCCCTAGAATCAGAGTTATCTTCATTTTAAAGCACCTGTCAGTAAAATATTACCAAATCTTCCTTGACTGTCATATACCTAAAGATAATACAGTGAAGACTTCATAGACAGTCTGTATGACTGATTTCATGTCCGTTTTCTAATAAATGTTTGTATGTTAGGCAGAATGTAGCCTACAATTTGCTTTCAGTGACATTTTTATCTGGTAATTAGATTATAGAGTAGGCCAACTTATAGAATCCAACTAACCCTAGCTACTGAAAGTCACTGGTATCTATCAAAAATAATTTAATATTTGGAAACTACCTAAGTGGTTCAGGTAATTTTACAACAGAAATTTTTCCTCTACTTCTAGTAAAATGAAAACAATCCAAATCCTCTATTTTCTTCATAGCCATATTCTTCTTTCTCTTCTTAGGTTACTTACCAATTTTTTCGTCTTCCCGAACCATTTTCCTTTCTTCTCTGAAAGCCCTGAGCCAGCGAATCTTCTCCTCCAGTTTCTTGGCAAAGAACAGATGTATTTCCTCAGTCTCCTTGTTGTGAAGCTTGAAAGCATTCTTCATGCTGACATTGAAGTCATCATCTCTTCCATCTTCAATGTCAACCACTTCATATTTATCCATATCAATACGACCTTTGTAGTACAGGATGTCTCTCCGGATCAGGTCCTATTATGGAAGGACGAGAAGGTTTTTCTTTGGAGGTATATGGAGAGTGAATACTAAAAGAGATGACATATGGACACAAGAAAGCTCTGAACTGCCATTGTTCTGGAGTACCAAGGGGGTTGGCTTGGTCTAAAGTTAGAAAAGTTATTTTAGCAAGTCCAAGATTGATAGGTTAACTAGATGCTCTTAGAAGAATCTGCTGTCTCATATTGAAAGACTCTGTCTCACGCCCCAGCATCTATCCTTATATGTGTTTGCAAAATTGATGGGAATACTTTGGGGAGTAGTAACTGGGACCTAAAAAGCTTGTGAGTGGTTGGAACAACCAAATGCTCTTAAAGGGATCACATTAGAATGTCCTAGACAGAGTCACAGAAAATTTGGAACAAATCTCTTTTTTATTTTTTTTTAAAAGGACCAGATTTCCACATTTACTGGTCAGAATGAGACTGGAGGGACCTGAGACAATGGCCCTCAATCACCGTTCAAGTCTGGAACTTACCCTCATACCAAATTTTCAACTAAGTAGCGTATCGATACTAGTATGGTATGCTCACCATGGAATGGTCAATCATTTAAAATCAGAAGGGCAACACTTACCTAAAGACAACATTGAGAAGGGATAAGAAGGTGGGTGGAATGGAAACAGTAACCACAGAGGGAAAACGGGATAACTGTTGTTGTGTGGAAGGGATTGCAATCATTTAGATGAAACAAAGTGTATGATTGTTGAATGAAAAACTGATGATAATATCTATAAATCTTCATTCAATTCACAATAAAAACTTTTAAAAAAACAAAATAAATGTAAAAAACAAAACAAAAGAAACTTGTAAGGTACAACTGGTTGGTCTCTACTAATTCAGAGCAAAGAAGAGTGAAAAAAAAAAAATGAAGCTGTATGGAAGCATTTAGTACAATGGCTAAGGGATCACATGAATATCAGCCTCCACGATCTTAAGACCAGAAGAATTAGACAGTGCTTGGCTACCACTACTGGCTGCTCTGATCATACCAGATAGACTGGGTTAATATTCCCCAAATCCTCAAAATCATAAAACAAAACAAAACAAAAAACAATACACCAGGCTTACTGGTCAAATACAGACTGGTGGAACTTCACAAATCACTTAGTCACTTTTCAGGCCTACACTGAACTCACCCCTGTGGCCAAACAATTCATAGTTCTATAAAGCAAATAATAACACTAGGGAAGTACACATGCCTTACAATAATCAACCATTTAAGATTAAAAAAAAAAAAAAAAAAGCAGCATTTGTCTAAGGACAAAGTTAAGAAGGCAATAAAGGTTAGGAAAGAAGGAGAAATGAAAACAGGAAACGGGAAAAAGTATGATAAGTGATTTACATTGTGGGGATTGTAATCAATGACAAGAAACAAAAATGTATATGAATTGTTGACCGTAACATGGATTTTCTTTGCAAACATTCATTCACCTAACTCAAGATAAAAAAAGACAGGCAGGAACTAAGCAGCAATAAGTTAATTTATTAGCAGCCCTGAAAGCTTTGTTGCCAGGACAGAGAAAGGTCTTCCTGTGGACAAAACTGAGGAGAGATTATGCTGATTGGAAGAACTGTACCGTGAATATTTCTGACTTCCTCTCTAATAAACCCCATAATTGTTAGTATGGTGTTTGATTTTCATATGGCCATGTCAATGAATTATTAAACCAGTTTAAGAGGAGAGAGTGCTGCGTGAAGTATGGCTAATACAACATTTCTTCTTTTACATAGCATATGGAGTTTTAGGTTTGATTAGTGTAGCCTCTTAACTCCTCCTCATCTCAGCACTGCCCTCAGCTTCCCTTGAGAGAACAGCCATTGTTGAGTCACGTGGTTCACTCCAGTTTAATAATACATATGTGAGCCCTGTTCTAATAGATGTCCTCTAGCTCTGGCAGTGTAGTGGTTACGAATTGGGCTGCGAACCTTAAGGTCAGCAGTTCGAAACTACAAGCCACTCTGTGGGAGAAAGATGAGGCTTTCTGCTCCTGTAAAGATTTACGGCCTCGGAAAAAAAACCTGTACAGGGTAGGGTCGCTATGCGTCGGAACCGACTCGACAGCACTAGTAGCAGAGGCCTTATTTGACCAATTTTCTCTCTCCTCTCTTCTTGCTTCTGGCCTTTTGGTCAACCTGACAGAGTCGTAATTTTTTTTAATTAACATTTTATAGTTTAGTTGAACCACTCCCAGTCTACTAAATAGCCTAACAAGCCTCACTTCTCAGCTACAGACTACCTGCAAAGAACCACACACATCTTCAGTCCTAAATTCTAAGTCTTCACATAGCACAGTAGACCATGTTCACTTAGTTTTCCAAGGAAGGCTGTCTTTAAATATTTCATGCATAACTCTGACATCTGGAAGCCCCAGGCTGGGATATACAGGTGTTCCTGAACCGCACAGCACAAAAACAAAACAACAACAAAAAAACCACACCACATTATTCTTTTTTTTCTCTCATAATGATTTTGTGTCTAAATAAAAAAATAGAGATGGGTTCTGATTTTTCAGTGTCACTAGCATCACATTTTTAAAAAGCACTTAAAAAACATTTTATTTTGAATTATGTGATAATTTACATTGGGGAACATTAGTTTTACATTCATCTTATTGTATATTGTTTTATTGCCATGGTTACATTCCCCTCCATGCATCATCAACCAACTACAACCCCCTGGGTTGTCAGCATGCAGCCCTCTCCCTCTCTGGGTCTAAAGTCCCCAGCTGATCCATCTCTCCACGTCATTGTCTCTGTCTCCATCTCTAGCATCACTGCTTCTCTGGGTAGGGTCCTGTTCTCTGCTCTTCTCCCTTGATGGTCCCAGGGACCTCCGCTCCTAGACTACAAAGTTAATCACTTCCCCCCTTGCTACAAAATGTCTACCTTTACATTTCTAACCTTCACAATAGCATCACATTTATAGCAGACAAAGAGTTTAGTTGTACAGAAAAGGTCAATGTTGTTCCAAGTCTATTTCAAAGCTTGGGTTCCATTTGCCATGATCAAGTGCACAAACTCATTTCTGGCTAAAATTACAGCATAGTTCCCATGTGCTGGCTTCCTCAATTCACAGGAATATATTGTGAGTCACATGAACAAAAAGTGGAACCTGTCAGGATAATCTAACTAAAGAAGAAATAAGATAAAATGGGGAGATTGGATGGATATAATTTAGTTTAATTTTATAAAGGTTTTGAATTGTGCATTAGAATACACATTAAGAAACAGACTGGGAGCAAGGGGACACCTTCCCAACCCCAAAGGGTTCTATTGCACACGCGTTCAGATCTGCTCTGCTGTAAACTATATCCCACCAGGACTATTTTGCTACATCTTTTTTTTGTTCCCCTTTAACCTCAGAGTGGGCTCTTTCTCTCCCTATGTTACCCAAGAAGAGACAGCAATTACAGCCATATAGCCAAGCTACAATCACACACTATAAAATCCCATCATCTGCGCAAGAGGCAATTTCAGCTGCTATACACTACACAGATAGCCAACACTTGTTAAAATTACTCTCAGTTGAATAATAAGAGAAGTAAAAAGGGAAGCCTATCTCTTGATCACACCTACCAGGAAGCACTCAGAAAGGTTAATAATACAGCAACATAAATTCATCTAATTATTGCAAATACATGTAATTATTGAAAATGCCCAAGAAACAATTGAAGATCTCAGTTCATGACCAGACAAGATAGAGTAGTTGAATCAAATGACTTAGAGGTAGATCTAGAACTCCCATTGGAAGGTGGACAGGCTTTGGAACTGCCAGATAAAGAATTCAGGAGAATGGTATTGAAGCACATTCAAACACTCCACAGAGGGGTTGAGAAAAATAAGAAAGAAATCAGGAAAGTGCTATAGGCACAATCAAATAAGATAGAAACTGCATTGGAAACAATTTAAAACCTACAAAAAGAGACTCAAATGGTTAATAATAATATATCAGAAATAGACAATATACTGAAAGGGCAAAGGAGTACAACTGAAGAGATGGAAGATAGAACCAGCAAACTAGAAGACAAACCTCTCAATACTGTTAAGATAGAAGAGCAAGCAGAAAAACGAATACAAAAATCTGAAGTAAGTCTAAGATTCATGTGGGAAAACATGAAGAGGAATAATCAGAGTTACTGGAGTCCCAGAACAGGAGGAATTTCAAAAGACCACAGAGGAGATAGTTGAAGATCTGCTCATAGAAAATTTCCCTATAATCCTGAAAGATGATAAGATAAGCATTCAAAAAGCTGAACAAATCCCAGAAAGGATAGACCTAAAAGAAAACCACCAACACATATCATAAGCTCTAAAAAATAAAGGTCAGGAGAGAATCCTCAATGCAGCTAGGGAAAAGAGAAGTGTTACTTATAAAGGCAAGCAAATAAGATTAAGCTCTGCTCTCTCAGCAAAAACCATGCAAGCAATGGGGAGACATATATAAAACACCGAAAAAAAAAAAAAAAAACACAAAAAAAACTGCCAACTAAGAATCATCAACCCAGCAAAGCTGTCAATCAAATACGAAGGTGTAATCAAAACATTCCAGAGTAAACAGAAGCTAAGGGACATTGCCAAAGCCAACTCAGCTCTTCTCTGGACTGAGAACTAACAAGAACAGACAATAACAAGAGATGGATAGACATGGCAACACCATCTGGAACTCAGTTGACAGAGGAGTCCAGAACAGAACAAAACTACAAGAACTGACTAGGAGGTCAGTCTACAATCCAAACAATTGTGAAGTGAAAGAAGGTAAAAATATAAGAACAGATAATCAGGTGATGAGGAGGTCAGGTAGACTACAGGATGAACCAGACTGTTTTAAATGGAGGCAAAAGTTAAAAGACTATAGGGTAGCCTCAAGGAAAATTAATACTTCACAACATGCCAAGAAAATGAAAATGCAAGAAAAACATGGAAACATTAACACAATGAAGAAACTGACAAGAAAGCGTGCACACACACAAAAAC